TTATATAGCCTGCGGACTATATGCGAGAAAATATGGTAATTGCTTGACAGCCCCATATGGCCAATTCAATTGCTTTTTGTAAGTTTATTACAGGGTTGTCAAACCCATCTAGCCCCGTGCACCAGATCAGGGTCACTGGGCCAGTTTGTGGGCTAGATCAGGGCTGGCCCCCTATGCCATGTGCCAGGTGTGTGGCCCTGTGTATAACCTGTCTGCCACATGTAGCATACGCTGGTCCTGCTCCGGGGCTTAAGCTGCATGCGGCACATGGGTTGGACCCAGCACATAGTATAAGGGATCAGGCCAGACCATAGGCCGCATGCAACACACTCTTGGCTGACCCTGTGTACTGGCTCCAGCATGGCCTGATCTAGACTGGCCCTAGAGCCAGCATGCTGAGATGGTCTGGGACAGGCACCATATGCAGCACACACCCTGGACTGACCCTCTGTGCTGGGTGCAGCAGACACAGTGCCAGGTCCAGACCAAACATTGCCTGCAGCAAGGATGGGGGAGGGGGATGTTGGGGGTGATGCGTGCCCCATAAAGCATGTGGGGTTGATCCAGAAACCCACAAGCTAGGTCATATTGCTCCACAGGCTGGAACTGACCCATAGGCCAGCCATATGTTTGACACCTCTGTTTGTTAGAAACAGCTATTGCAGGGACTACTGGCACTCTTAGTTGAGTTACTAGGTACCAACTGCAACTAATATTTGAAAGAACTGATAAAAAGGCATCTTGACATTCTAATTATACAGTAATGTCACAAGGACTGGAGTCATAGTTACATAAGTATTTCAGAAGGAAGGGCAGCTTTTTGCAGGCTAACTCATTCAGAAAGCATGATTTTTCATAGGCTATAGCCTACTTTGTCATATCCAATGATGTATATCACTGAAGTTTCAGTTAATAAGGCTATTTTTTAATTTTTATAAGAAATTTTGCAAATTGCCCATTGAATCAACTTTGTATTCACAGGGTGTGTCTACACATGATTTACACCATCTTAAATTTACTGCACAATAAATTACTGCTCAGTAATTGGGAATAGGTTGGCATCTACATGTACAGGTGTTAAACCACATTAACTGTGAGTGGACTGATCTGGGACTAAAGTTAATCCCAAATCAGTCCACACACACATGCGCTTGCGCGCGCGCACACACAGAGTGTTACTGTGGAGTAAGGCATCTACACATGCAATACTGTGCAGTAACTAATTGGGTGTAAATTTAATACCTGCATGATGCAGATATCAAATTTATGCTTAAGTCAGTGGAAGTAAAAATATTTACTGTGCAGTACAGGCATGCACATGTAGACATGTTCATGTACTGCGTAGTAAATGTGCACATGTAGATACACCCACTTTGTTTTTCAAAAAATGTGAAACTAGAATCTTAAAAAATCTACCTTTTGCTTCTTCTAGTTTTCCCAGCTCTAATCTTTTTAAATGAGAAGTTTTAAATTGTATCAAACACAACTGAAAAACAAATATTAATGGGCCTGGAATTAAAATGTCATCCTAAAAGAAAGCTAAGAATAACACTCTTAGCCCTGTATCTGAATCTAAGGAAAGTTGCTGTTTTGTTTTGTTGTGTCATTTTTGGGAGGATAAGCAAGAAAAAACATAATTTTCTTGATTGATTGCCTATCATTTATGAGTGGTTTTTAAAACATGGCAAAATATTTAGGAAGAACACACCTATAGGCATTTCACTTCAATCAGATTGCAAATAAGAATATCTGTGGATTCAAGAAAAGAATTCTCTCCTAAGGGCAGGTCAGAAATAATAATAATAATAATAATAATAATAAATCCTGTTTGTAAATAGTAGGATATTTAAATCCAAGAAGCAAAATAAGTTGGTTTAAAGTTGAAAACTACTAAAACTCTGATTTAAAAAAAAAATTAATTAAAAAAAATCACTCAGCAAAAGTTGAAAATGAAGAAAAGAGAGGCAAAAATGGTTGTCACTCTTCGCCCTGTGCCAAAAACCGGGCACTTTTTTAAATGAAGCATATACTGTAACTGCACATTTTTGTTTCTGGAAAATAATCTATTGTATGAAGAAAATGAACCTCTTAAAAATCAAAGAAATGTAATACTGACTGATTCAGTGCTCTCAATTAGGAGGTACAGTCTTAAAGATATGCTAAAATGCATAACTCAGATTCTATCTTCTGCAGTTATTAAAAATTCCATTTCTTCCCTCAAGGAGTATATGTAGGAGCTCTAGGACTAGTGTACTGGCCAAATGAGAACTTTAGTCACTACTTTTCACCAACCTAAAATTGTACGTAACTTTCACCTAGTATTTTTCAATAATTTTCCTAATTGCTACACAGTCCTTATATACAATAATAAATCACTGCTTTTGCATAGCACAGAGCTAACTTCATTTGAGCAAAAATTGAAATGGTTGTTTGAAAGTTGTTATAAATTATATTGGATGAAAACTGTACAGTCTAAGTGTGAGATATTCATATTTGGTATAAAAATATAACAGCACTTACTTTGAAGGTTTCTGTAATCATTCTCAGGGGCACAGAAACATACCCTTACCTTTGATACTGTAACAATCTTTTTGAATTACCCAAAAATCTTTTTATACACCTCTTCTGAAAATACTTCCATTTTTAAATGACCCCAACCTATTTTCTGTCCCACCTCCTGTTGTCCTGGTGCCAGTATGGTGTGCAATACTTTAACCTCCCCCCACCAAATAAGATGAAAGGGGTTATTTTGAAGTACTGAACTCTATTTCCAGCTGAAGTCATGTTAGGTCATACCTTTTAATTCAGAAAATCATAACAAGAGATATTTCTTTTCATTCACTACTGTACCTTATAAGAAACATACTATATTTGCAAGGGGGCAAGTTTGTTCTCTTGGTGTTTATATAAATTAGTGTATATTGATTTGATCTTGAAATATTCTTGGTACTTCTGGGAATAATCCTGTGAAATGCAGAGCATTACACATAATAGACGTGCAGTTAAGTCAATGGGAATGGAAACTACCTTATAAAACTGGAAACTGGCCCCATAAATGTAGAGGACAATTCGAGTTTAACTGCTATTAAAAAAATGAATAAATAAATAAAAAAGCAAAAACTCTTTAGAAATACATATTTTTTTCTTACACTCAAATTAGTGAAAGTAACTATCTGAGTATCAGAAAAAAAGAAATGTCTTCTCTTCTATATCCCTATACTACTAACATGACTCAACGTGTTAAAAAATAATAAATGTAGTTACCTTTAGTAAGTCATTTCACAAGAGCACGGATCTGAATTTTTAGATGCTTACTGTGTGTTTTACTTAGCTCAGCCAAAGCTGCTTTAAAGTCCTGTGCTATGATGGAATGATAATTGGGTGTTGATGAAAAACATCAATCATCGTTGTATTGTGATTCAAGTTATATTTGTTTTAAAGTTAAACTATAAGATGTTGTGAAATAAACCATATGGGTTTGGTGATTGCATTTTAAAAGCTTCATCCCTTTACTTACAGGCCAAGTGTGAATCATCCCCTAAATCAATAGAGCTTATTGAAAACTCCAGGATTACCTGAAAAGGTTTTGAAGGGTTTGTCAGTAAAGAAAAAAAATCCGAATCATTTCTAAGATATATTCTTTTCTGTTCCCTATCCTCTCTTAATGCTTCTGAATCCCAAGAATAGACACTTCTTCCACTTACCTGCTAGGACAGGCCAACCTGATTTTTGAAGTACATTTAGCAAAGTAGTTCAGTGGATGTGTTCTGTTATTTGCAATTGAAATGACTCATTTGTGATGACATGAAAATGAGGACAAACTTGCCCAAAGATGCAATGATATCTTTGCTACATATTATACTAGCTATTGCAGACTTCTGGAAAGAGTTTAATTTTGTTAAATACTAGCATTTTAGTATATAAAATTAAGATACAGAACTAAAACTAATAGTTCATTTTTGAAGCATTATAATCAGAGAATCCTCAGTCATTGGGGACTAATGGGGTTAAACATGTCCCAGAGGTGTGGAGTGGCAGATGAACTTCAGGCTACCCTTCCACCTTGTTACTAGAGGATGGCTGGTGACACTTCAGGGGCTCTGGGCTCTGGGAGATGCAGTATACTCAGCTGCTACTAGGTTTCATTTGACCCTAAGGTAACTAGAGGTTGAAAGGATTGAAAATACTGTTCTCTCTCATCCTGGGGACAGGCAGCGGAAGGAGAAAATAAAGACCAAGAAGTGTAGGCTTCTGTGACTCTATATCAGTTCAAGTCCACAAAGGCAGATATAGCATTCCCAGCACTGTGGCAGCAATGTTCCCATCCTGGCCACCCCATGGACTCCCACCTAATATCCCCTTCTGACTTCTCAGGGTCCTATCCTGTTATCTTGCCTGCCACACTTTGATGTTATGGTTAGACAGAGAGGCTACCCCTAGAGGGCATAGTGGGGTTAGAATGTAGGGTCCTTGTCTGGGCTTAGGCACTCTAGCTTTGGGCCATAGATTCATAGATTTTAAGGCTGGAAGGGACCTTGGAAGATCATTGGGTCCGGCCCCCTGCATCAAGCAGGACAGACAACTGGGGTCAGGTGACCCCAGCAAGGTGACCATCCAGTCTCCTCATAAAGATTTCCATGGTAGGCAATTGTACCACCTTTGGAGGGAGCTTATTCCACAGCCTGGACACCCTAGTTGTGAAACAGCTTTTCCTAATGTTGAGCCAGAAATGGTCTTCCAGGAGTTTGTGACCATTACTCTTAGTTTTCCCCCAAGAGTGCCCTGGTAAACAGTTGTTCACTGAGCCCTTAATATACAACTCTGATGTAGTAGTAAGCTGCTACCACCCCTCTCAGTCTTCTCTTTTTCAGGCTGAAGAGTCCCAGATCCCTCAGACTTTCCTCATATGGCTTGCTGCACAAGTCTCTGATCATATGGGTGACCCTTCTCTGGACTCTCTCAAGCTTTACCACGTCCTTGTTAAAGTGTGGTGTCCAGAACTGGATGCAGTAGTCTCACTATGGTCTTACCAATGCCAAGTAGAGTGGGAGAATCACTTCTTTGGTTTTGAGGAGATACATCGATTGATGCATGTCAGGGTATTGTTAGCCCTGTTGGCTACAGCGTTGCAGTGCTGGCTCATGTTCATACTGTGGTCTTTTATTACCCCCAGGTCCCTTTAATTCATAGTGCTGATCAGGTTGGTGTTGCTAAGCCTGTAGGTGTACAGGGGATTGTTCATCCCCAGGTGGAGCACTTTACATTTCTCAACATTGAACTTCATCTGATTCCAGTCCGTCCAACTTGCCATCCTGTTTAGGTCCACCTGTATCTGTACAAGCATGACCATGCTTCTCCATAATTTGGTGTCATCCATGAGCTTGGCAGGCAAGCTCTATGCCCTCACATCCAAATCATTGATGAAGATGTTGAATAGCATTGGACCAAGTACTGACCCCTGTGGGACACCACTGGCCACTTCCCACCAAGAAGACACAGATCTGTTTATTAGAACTCTCTGGGTCCTACTCCACAGCCAGTTTCCTACCCACCTGACTCTTGCAGTTAAGCCCACAGTCTTCCAATTTTCTCATGAGAACATCATGGAATACCAGATCAAAAGCATTTTGGAAGGCTAGGTATATAAAGTCCACCTCCACTCTCTTATCCAGGTGGTGAGTCACCTGATTGTAAAAGGAGATGAGGTTGGTAAGACAAGACTGGCCCACTTTGCTCTGGTTGGGTTCCTCTTGCTCGGGTCCATGATACTCAAACCCTAGGCTCCCAGTCCCCAGCTCCAATTTTGTCCCTCATGGGCTCTGGGCTCCCTGGCCTTGCAGGGTTACCCTTGCAGGGTTCTGGGCTTGTGCCAGTCCTTGCTGTCTAGTATCACAGTCCTGACAAAAGAGGAGCAGCACACCTTCTAAGTCATTGGGACCCTGCCTCCCATGTGACCCACTGGGTCCCAGATCCTTGGTACTTTATGTGGTGTGCCCCTGCAGTTCTCTGTGGTCTCTTATCTGTCCCTTACAGCCATGTCTAGTCCTCTGGTACAGATGCAAATCAAAAACATGAGTGTCCACTCCAAGATCAAAGACACCCCGTCTGGAGTTAATCATGCACTGTGGTAATATGACAACAGAGGCTTAAAGTACTTATCTGTTGGTTCTTGGCCCAGTTCCCCTGAAGCCTGAGGTCCTTTCTTTGTGAGTATCCTGCCTTGGTTTCTCTCCGGAGCTCTGCCTCCTGCAGTCCCTATGGCAGTCAGCCCCCTCTGGCTCAAACTTTGGGTTTATATGCTTCTCCCTGAGTCACCTGATCCTCTACTTTTGCCCTAAGCCTGTCAATCACTACCTGCACCTGGAACGGGCAGCCATTTTATTCAATGGCCCTTTGCATTATTAGTTTGTCCAAGAGCTTGGGGTCAGCTAGCTGACCCTTGGTTCCCTTTCCCCATCAGTAATGAGGTAGGGGCCCTGTTACAGCAGAATGTAAGATTATTTCCACATAGTTTCATAGTTGGTAGGGTCAGAAGGGACCTGAGCAGATCATCAAGTCCAAGCCCCTGCCATGGGCAGGAAAGAATGCTGGGGTCAAATGACCCTGGCTAGGTGATTTATCTAGCCTCCTTTTGAAGACCCTCAGGGTAGGAGCAAGGACCACTTCCCTTGGAAGTTGGTTCCAGATCCTAGCTGCCCTGACTGAAGTAGTGCTTCCTGATGTCTAGCCTGAACATACTCTCAGTCAACTTGCTTCGGGGAACAGGGACTCTCTTGTTTCCTGCTGGTCCCCCATGGTAAGTTTATAAATGGCCACCAGATAGATCCCCTCTCAGCCTTCTCCTGTGGAGGCTGAACAGGTTCAGGTCCCACAGCCTCTCCTCGTAGGGCCTGGCTTGCTACCCCTTGACCATGTGAGTGGCCCTCCTTTGGACCCTCTCAATACTGTCCACATCCCTCCTGAAGGGCGGTGCCCAGAACTGGACACAGTACTCCAACTGCAGCCTGACCAATGTTGCATAGAGGGGGAGGATCACCTCCTTGGACCTGGTCATGATACATCTGTGGATACATGACAAAGTGCGGTTAGCCTATCTGACCGCATCCTCACATTGGTGGCCCATGTTCATCGTGGAATCAATAATGATTCCAAGATCCTTTTCTGCCTCTGTGCTGATGAGAAGGGTATATGTGAAAATAAAAGGAGGCATGTCAAGTGCCTCATCCAGCACAGAGTGACCAAAAATTTATTTGGAGTCTTGGAAGCAAGATTTATGAGGAAAGGCTGAAAGAGCCGGGTTAATTAGTCTGAAGAAGAGAAGACTAAGCAAGGATTTAATAACATTTTTCAAATACTTGAAGAAGAGAGGGTGTAGATGGGCTTTTCTTTGTGGCCACAGGAGACAGGACTAGGAATAACAGCTTCAAGCAATAGCAGAAGAACTGTAGGTTGGAGAGCAGGAAGACCTTTCTGACTATGAAGCATTGGAACAGGCTACCTAGAGAAGTTGTGGAATCTCCTTTCAAAGAAATTTTCAAAAGCAGGTTAGACAAATACTTGGCTAGAATGGTGTAGTTGGAGACAATCCTGCCTTGAGCAGAGGGCTGGACTAAATGACCTTGTGAGATCCTTTCCAGCTCTGATTTCCTATGATACTAAATGGCAGAAGAATCAGAATTGAAGGACAGGTCCCCCTGAGCTGTGGAGAAGTTCAGTAAAGAGAGGTGGGGGAGACTGATTTCTGTGTGCTGGAAAGTGACATTTCTGACCTAACGAAGAGGAGTTGGAAAGATGAAGGGGTTCTGGGAGGCTCAAGGTCGGGATGGAGGTAGGATTGCTAGGGTAGCTAGGTAGGATTGAGTCAGGAAAAAAAAAAAGGAAAGGGGAGATGCAGGAATCATAACTTTTTCCCCCAACCAGTCCATACATTTCTGTTCCAGCTCTTTTCACTTTTAAGATGTGGTGCAGATTTCTTTCTGTAGCCAAGTAAAATATTTTGGGTATCACATTGCCATCAAGTGGGTGTATCTATGCAAGTCATTTATGGTGGAGATGACTAATTAACTCTGCAGCAAAACGTCACAGTCTACATGTGCAACCCTATTAGGTCACAGTAGACTAATTAATGCTGCCACAGGGTAGAACTGAATACAAATACTACTGTGAGGTGGCCTTGTTTTGTGCACTACAGCATATGTGTAGACAGTGACAGGTGCGCACAGGAGCAAAAAAACTCTGAAGAAATAAGCTTTGGAATTTATTCATATGCATTAGTTGCGTGTGTAGACGCACCCGGTGATGATAATTCTTAACATTATTTCATCTAAAGATCTTATATCAGACTTTTTTTTTAATGCCAAATTAGTTAATCAAGCTTCACAACTGCTATAAATTTTGCTTGCAGGGAGCAGCTGATTTCAGCTTAAGCCATCTTGAGGGAAGATGAAATTACTTGTCAAAGAAGGGTCTGTAAACCAACAACTGGGCAAGTTTAATTAACCCTTTTTGTTTTGCCAACATTGACCAACAACAAAAATCCATCCTCACTCCTGAGTGAAATCTGCACTCTATTAATGTTAAATGGAGTTTGACTTTGATGCCAAGGGTATCCAGGATTTCACTTCCCATGTTTTTTACTTTTTTGTCATTGGGATACATACAATTAAGTTATTGGTAGCATTTTTGTAAATAGTATGTATCATGAGAAACTAAACCAATTTTATAGAGTTTATATCTCTTGGCTACCTATCCTATCTGAACACATTTTGAGACTGTTCATTTTGAGCTGCGCTAACAGAGCGCGCAAACAGGCGTGGGCTAGGGGGACTGCCCCCAAGCCAGGGAGCACCCCTGGGGTAAACCCTCGGGTATCGGACTCCAGAGGCACCGGGCACCCCAGCCAGGGAGCGCAGGGGGGCAGGACCGCCAGCAGGCACTTCCGGTGGGTCCGGAAGGCCTGATTGGTGGATAGGACAGCGGTGGGTAATTCAAACTGCGGCCTTTAAAAGCTGCAGTTTGATGCAGCTTCCGGCACTTGGGAGCTAGAAGCAGCGGGGAGAAGGAGGACACAGGCACACGTGTATTTTGTACACACGTGTGCCCCCTTACCAGACCTGGAGCGGAGCGATGCAGAGGCGAGAGCAACGGAGGTGAGCAGAGCGGCAGCGGGGGCAGAAGCAGCTGATCCCCATAAGGTAAGTGGGGCGGAGAGACCGGCGCAGCTGAGCCGGATCTGGAGGGGAAGCCCCCCGGATCCCTCTTTGCTGAGCCGGTAGGAAGCTGCGCTCCCAAGCCGCGTGAACACAGCGCGCAAACAGGCACGGTCTGTTAGAGTGCGCCGGCGTTTGTGCCGGAGGGTGAGCAGGAGGGGTCCAGAGGCTGACTCCT